ACGACGAGGAGATGCCGCCGGCGGAGGGGCCGCGGCGACGGCGTCGGCTGGAGCAGCGCTGGGCCGTCGGCCTGCAGCCGGCTTCCACCCGCCCAGCCTCATGCAGGGGCTGCGGCATACCGTTCGATAGTGTGGGGAGCTGCGCCTGGCCCCATGGGGCAGCAGAGACAGGGGACGGTGGAAGTGTATAGCATGTGCGGCGCCGTCGGTGGGAGACGCAGCCAATCTCTCCGTTGCCGTCTACACCACCGAAGGCCATGTGGAGGCGGCGCGTGCGGCCTTGGCCCGGATGGCGACGACACGCCCCCAGCAACAGGGGCGGAATGAGGCGGCAGCCGACCTGTTACCGCCGCCACTCCACCATGACTAGGACAACGACGTGCTCCCCAAACGCGGGTGGTGGGAGCGCCTCCCATGGACCGCGGCAGTGCGCATCGGCACCCCTAATGCAGGTGCCGGATCGGTTCCGGGGCGCCTTCGTGACCGCCCGCCTCAAGCTGCTGGAGGTGCTGGCGGCGACAGCTGTGAGGGGGGACTACAAGCAGGAGTGGAGGGCGCTGCTTCTTTTTGACGCGCAGCTCCTGGCCCGGCCCGCTGGGCAGGCCACCAACGCCGAAGCTCTGGAGGAACGCTTGGCATGGTGGTGGGGTGGCCAATGGTGTGCTCTCTGGGGGAACGCTTCGGGCCGTTCCGCGCCTCCGGTCGCTGGCCCGCGTCTGGGGCAGGCGGACGAGCGGGAGAGGCGGGCGCGGCGCGTCCACACGTTGGCCGCGGCTGGCGAGGAAGAGCGGGCGCTGGGGGCTGCGCGGGGTACCCCGCTGGCGCCACGCAGCCGCGGCACGCTGGAGAAACTGCGCGCCTCCTTCCCCCCAGCAGCCGACGGCGACGCTCCTCCCGCCGCCCGGCGCGGGACCGCTCCCGACCCAGACCTTTGGGACAAGGTGCAGACAGAGGCGGGGACACTCCTCAACAAGCCGGCCTGGCCGACCGCCCCGGGGCCCCAGGCCTGCTTTGGGCCAGGCTGGAACACCTCTCCACGGCGGCGGACGACCCCGAAGCGCTCGTCTTGCTGTCCCAGACGGTCCCCAAGTTGACGTTCGGAGAGGTGCCAGGGCCCGTGCTCCAAGCTCTTCGAGTGGGCGAGCTGGTGGCTTTGGAGAATCAGGGGCACGGAGATGTCCGCCCGCTGCTTGTCGGGGCCAGCTTGCGTCGGCTCGGGATGCGAGCGCTGGGGTCCAGAAGGCCAGGCTCCGCCAGGCGGCCGGCCCGCACCAGTACGGAATTGGCCAGAGATGCGGCGCCGACATGATCAAGCAGCTCCAGGCGCAGATATCAAAGAGGCCTTCCAGCGTCTGCGCCGCAAGCCGGCCATCCGGGCCATGGCCGAACATGTGCCGGAGATCGCGTGGGTCCTCGACGCCTGGCACTCTGGGTCGGCCCAGCACCTCTCGCGCGACGCGGCGGGCAACCTCGAGGAGGTCGAAAGCGTGCTCGGCTTCGACCAAGGGGACCCTCTCTCGCCGGCTGCCTTCGCCGTTGGCCAAAGGGCGGCGCTCGCCCAGCTGCTTGAGGAGCTCTCTCGCTTGGACCTAGGCTGGAGGAACCTTGGGTGCGCGGCTTCCGGGGAGCCCGTGGGGACACCACGCAATCGGGCAAGCCGGCGTTGCCGCGCCACAACAACGATCGGCGGGGCGCCACTCGAAAGATTTTTCGTACCAGCGGGAAACCGCGGAATTCCGCCGATTGAATTCGAGAGCCCCGAACGGCACTTCGAAGGCACTGCGAAAACAGACGCTGCCGGGGGCCGCCGCGATGAGGTCTGGCACTGCCTGGGTTGCGTCGCGATGACGTCTAACCAGGTCCGGCGTCATGGTCAAAACCGGCCCCATCCGAGTGCCTGGAACATGTTTGAATATTTTGGATGGTTTATCATAGTACAGATCCCCATGTGTTCGAAAAGTCGGTTTAAAGATATTCCAGATATTCGAAGAGATCCAAAGATATTCACGCCAGACGTTTTGGGATTAGGGGTGCGATTCGGGACTGGTCCTGGGCCGGAAAACGCGCCGTCTGGTCGACCAGCCCCCCCTCGGCTAACCAATGCAAGCTGTGGGGTGCGACGCGTATGTATGCGCTGCTGTCGATTGCAATGGGTGGGCCCAAACCTGGCGCGCTCAGATGCGAGCGTAATCACACGATGCGGGTGCCGACGCGAGGTCAAGCTCATCCCAAAGGAAAAATCACGCGACCCCCTTTGGGCCAGCACCAAAGGTCACTCCGGCGAAAGGTCACTCTTACGTGAAATTGGACGACACCTACCTGGTGCTCCCGGCGCAGCACGCTACAGCCGCTCACCAGCGCCTGGGAGAACTCTTGGCCCCTCTCGGTCTGGCGCTGAACGAGCGGAAAACGCAAGTCTGGTCTCCAGGGGGGCTCCTGGCGGTTCCCGCTGAGCTTCGACCGCGCTTCGTGACGGCTCTCCCCGTGCTCGGCACGCACTTGAAGACGCAGGGCGACGTGGCAGACGCGCCCTTTGAGCTGGGCGAGAACAGCGGCCTCCAGCACGCGACGGGGCGCCTGACGGAGCTCTGGCGGGCCCTCCAGCCGCTGGGCAAGAGCGCAGTAGGCGAGCACGGCCTGTCGCGGCAGGCGATTGGGAGCTTGCTGCGCACTTACGCCGGCGCTGCGAGCCAGTTTGTCCTGCGCGCGCAGCTCGCCAGCGAGGCAGAGGCCAGGCGCTACGACAAGACGCTGGCAGGGCACTGCGAGGAGCTGGCCGAACGGCCCCTGGACGCCGCGGCGCGTGAGGTCTTGGGTCTCTCGCAGAAGCTTGGTGGAGCTGGAATGCAGTGGGCCAAGACGAGGCGGGCTGCGGCTTTCTGGGCGGGCTGGACTGCCTGCGAGTCCAGCGTGGCTGCGAACCTCGGCGCGCCGACCTTGCTTGAGCTCTTGGACGCCGCGCCGCGCCTGGGCGAGGCCCTTTCTGAGGCTCGGATTAAGCTCCCCCTCCAGGGCGCAGACCCTGCGCCGGGCGCCTGCCTGCTGGGCGCCTTGGAGCACCCAGGAAAGCAGAGCACTGTCGTGCAAGCTGTGCAAAAGACAACCCACGCTGCCTTGCGGCAGCGCTTGCACCAGCATGAGATGGCGACGCTCCTGGGGGCCGGGGGGCCTGGGGCCGCGGTCTTCCCCGGCTACCCAACCGACCCTGCTTGCTCCATGGAGGACGGGCTCTGGGCCGCAGCCTACCGCGCCCGACTGCACTTGCCCCAGACCGAGTGCACGCAGGCCGAGCTGCAGACCGCGGCGCAGACCTGCCAGAACCGCCGAGCTGCCCAGGGGGCCTGCGGCGCGCCGTGCGGCCAGCCGCTCGACGAGCAGGGCACGCACGCGACGACCCGGGCGCTGGGCGGCAGCGTCGAGCGCCGCCACGGCAGCCTCGAGCACAGCGTCGCTGGCTTGGTCAGGCGCTGGCTGCACCAGGAACCGCTCACGGAGCAGCGCGTCCCGACGTGGGATCGTGCGCGCAACCGGCGGCCAGGGGACCCGCCCGACGCGGACCTGGTTGAGTGCCCGGTCCTCTACCGCGAGGGGGCCGGCCAGCATTGAATCGACGCGTCTGTCCGCCACCCCGCCGCCGACGACGTGGCGCCAGCGGCGGCGCGCCGCGCCGGCGAGGCCGCCCGCCGGGCAGAACGGCAGAAGCACGCCAGGTACACGGGGGACCGCCTCACGCCCTTCGTGGTTGAGACCCCGGGCCGCCTAATTGGGCGGAGAAGCCCGGCAGTGGCTCCTGAGGCAGGTGCGCACGCTCCCTGCCGACCGGCAGCCCGCGGAGCTGGCCCGAGCCTACAGGGTGGTCAGCTGCGCGGTGCAAGCGCAACTCGCCCTGCAGCGCCGCCGGGCAGCGGGCCTCGCCTGAGCGGCTCTGCTGGCCCAGCGGGGGCGGCCGCGGGGCGCCGCTAAGGCTGGCGCTCCTGGAGCTGGACCAAGGGGAGGCAGAGCCAGCTGGCCGAACTGAACTGGCCCGGGCGCAGGCCCGCGCCGGGCGATGGCTGGGCACGCTCAGGACGGCTGGCCGCGCTGCTGGCGACGCCGACGGAGCTGGGCGCGGCGCGGCGGGCTGGGGGGGGGGCTGGGGGCGCTGGAGCAGCTGGCGAGGGCGCCCTTCCCTGGAACGCTGCGCGGGGCGCCTGGCGCACTGGCGGGGGCCGCGCTGGAGGGCGCACTGGCGGGGAAGCCCAGGGCGTGCGACTACGCAATCGTCGCGCTCGGCGTCGTGCTCCCGGGTAGCGCCAGGTATAGTCCCTGGCCGGCGCGTCCCACCCCTTTAAGGATTGCTGTCGCCTGGTGCAAAGGCCGTCCTAAAGGGGCCGACGCTGAGCGTTGGTGCGCGCCGGCACTAATCCCACCAGCCCTTTAGGGCGTGAGTGGTTTAGAGAGCCCCCTCTGTCCTCAAGCCCCCTTCTTCCCCTTCGGGGAGGGGTTTACCCCTCCCCCTACCCCCTCCCCCTGGGTCTGGAGAGGGCGGGCCGCGGGTGGTTGGAGGGGTCTTTTTCGACTCCTGGGAGGGCCAAAAAACGACGACCCTCACGAGGATTCTGGCCCCGACGGGGGGATCCAGAAAAAACCCTCTCCTCTTCTGTGAAGCCAAAATCCTTGCTTTTACGAAGGTTTTGGCCCCATTTTGGCCTCCCGAGGGGGCCGCGCTCATCTTCCTTCATAGCAAAATCATTGATTTTACGCAGGGTTTCGGGTTCATTTTGTCCTTCTCAGGGGGCAGCGCTTCTTTGCGCTTCTGAGGAGGTCGCAAGAGGCCCCAAGATGGCCCCAAGAGGCCCCCAGGAGCCTCCCAAGAGGCCTCCAAGAGGCCCCCAAGAGGCCCCCAAGAGGCCCCAAGAGGCCCCCAAGAGGCCCCCAAGAGGCCCCCAAGAGGCCCCCTGAGGCCCCAAGAGGCCCCCAAGAGGCCCCCACGAGGAGCCCGAACGACTCACACCAGGACGAGGGGCCCGAACGACTCACACCACGAAGAGCCCGAACGACTCACACCACAAGGAGGGGCCCGAACGACTCACACCAGGACGAGGCGCCCGAACGACTCACACCACGAGGAGCCCGAACGACTCACACCACGACGCGGGCCCCGAACGACTCACACCACGAGGAGCCCGAACGAGTCACACCAGGAGGAGGGGCCCGAACGACTCACACCAGGATGAGGGGCCCGAACAACTCACACCACGAGAAGCCCGAACGACTCACACCAGGACGAAGAGCCCGAACGACTCACACCACGAAGAGCCCGAACGACTCACACCAGGAAGAAGGGCCCGAACGACTCACACCAGGACGAGAAACCCCAAACGACTCAAATCACGAGGAGCGCTTTCTCTCCCTCCTCCTCCGCCTCGTCCTTCTCCCGCTCCCCCCACAAGGAGGATGTACAAGGAGGCGGGAGGAAGGAGGAACAGGGGAGATATGCGGGGCCAAGCGGACACACGCCTGAAAAACACGACTGTCGGCATGCTTCGCATGAGTTGCTGTTGTGAGATGGGCTGGTGGGGATACGCGAAGCGTAAAGATTTCAAAGTGCTCGGCGGCAAAGACCCGCGGCCCAGGAGTGGGAAGACAGGAGGGAGAGAGACGCAGCGACGGGGAAAGAAGAGGGAGGAGGAGGCAGAGGAACGGGGAGAAGGTGGACGAGGATGAGTGGAAAGCAGAGAGGGAGAAGGGGGAGAAGGAGGCGGAGGAGGAGGAGGACGGGGAGGACAAGGAGGAGAAGGAAGAGTGTTGGGGAGGAGGGGGAGGAGGAGGAGCAATATCAGGCGGGGAAAAACATGGCCTCTCCCGTGTTCATGGGGTGGAAGCTGCATCCCGACGGCATGCGCACGTAGCACCCCGGAGCCTCGGGCAGCCCAGCGGTCCTGGCAGCAGTGGCGCCCACGTCCACGGTGGCATTGGCTTCCGCATCCACACGGTGACTGCCCGCGCTGGTCTCCGCGGCAAGGACATCCTTACTCTGGTCCGAGCTGTTGCCGTCCAGGTCCTCCGTCGCAGCCCTCTGCACCGTCACGTACAGGAGCCTGGAGGCGCCGTTGGTCTGCTCCTGGGAGGCTTGGAACTGCTTAGCAATTCGATCGGCGAACAGCAGCGAGTTCTGACGCCAAGGAACCCCGTTGACCTTGACGATCTGGTCACCAGCGCGGATCGCCTGCTTCGGATGGGCTGCGTTCCAGGCAGCAACCGAGCCCGTGCGCCGGACCTTGCCGATGGTGATGGGGACACCGTCGCCCTCGACATCCAACTGCCAGCCCAAGATCTTCGCGATGCTGTCGCCCCCGTTGGATTTCGGAACGCGCAGGGCTGCCACGAAGCTGGCCGGCGTCCCAGTCTCCATCGCCGTCAGGCTCTGCTTCACGAGGCCCCGCGAGCCAGAAGAGCGGCGCGCCTCTGCCTCGCGCTTGGCCGCCTCCACGAGCCAGTTCGTCTTGTTCTGGGCCGAGGTGGCGTTGTCGGCGTCCTTCGCGGCCTTCTGCGCCTCCACAGAACCAGGGGGGGGGAGGAAAAATGGATGATGGACCAGGGGGCAAGGAGGAAGCCACAGGCCCCGACCGCCTGAGACGGTCCAGAAGCGCCCCTCCCTGCCAGAACCAGCCGACCCCCTACGTGCAGCGGTATCCGCCACCGTGCCCCATTGGTACGTGGAGGCGTGGCACAAGTGCTGTCCAGAAGGGTATCTGTCATCTTCTGCCCCCCCCCCTCCCAGTAGCAGACACCCGCATGCAACGCTCCCCTCTCCCGAGGGCCCCTGGGAGACCCGACGCCTCTCTGGTGCTCTCTAGGGCGTCCAGGACGCCCAAGGTGGCGTCCAAGACGACCCAGGATGGCCCCCCAAATCCGCCGAAGATCCATTTTAAAGACGACCTCCTATGGTCCCAAGAGGTCCGAGATTGCGTCAGCACGGCCCAAGAGGGTCACAAGAGGGCCCAAAAGGGTCACAAGAGGACCCCCAACAGGGCCCAAAGAAGCAAAATTATTAGATTATCATATGGTTGTTGATTGGATGTCGCATTCACTGATTTCCGGGCTCCCATCAGCCCAGGACACCCCAAGAAGCATTCAAGATAGCCCCAAGGCGGCCCAGGAGGGCACTCAAGAGGAGCTCCCGAACAGCCCAGGACGACCCCAAGACGGCTCCCAGCTGGCCCCAGAGGGCGTCAAGAGATGTTCAAGACGGCCTCAGCGGGCCTTTCGACGGCCCAAGACGCCCCCACGACAACCCTGCGACAACCCCAAGAGATCCCTCATGAATAATGTTTATCCGATCCCCATCCCCAGCGGCGTGGCCTGGGCCCCACTGGCCGACTTACCCCCCTAGATGGGGATGTAGGTCGTCCCCTTCGGGTTCGGGTTTCGAGGGGTGTATCCCCAACTGGGGGGTTATTTGGTGGGGGTCTCGAAAGGATTGGGGATGGGGATGGGGATCGGTTAAACGATACTGAATCCCTCAGACGACCAAGAGAACCCCAAGAAAGCCCGAGAGAGCACCAAGGCAGCCGAACACGGCCGCAGCACGGCCCGAGAGACCCCCCAAAGATCCCCAAGGCGCGCCTGCAGGTGACCAGGGCAGCCCCAAGGAAGCTCCGATGAGCTCCATGAGAGATCCTCGAGACGTGAAGACGGAAAACATTCCTATTTCTTCTCCTACTCATCTTCCGCCCCCTCTCCTCCACAATTATTGGAATATGAACGCGACCCCCCTCCCTCCCCTGACTATGGCCAGAAGATCACCCGCACTCCCCGCGCGTCGTTGCTACACACCAGATGTCAAAGGTTGCTACTAATAACGTGATTGTCCAATACGATCACGTCGGTGATTCCAAATGGTGTTCCCGCTGCCGCAAGGGTCTCATTTCAGGATTGGCATCTTGATCCCGTCGTTCAGAATGGTGCTCCAGCGCGGGCCTGATTTCTGGATCGGAATTCCCCTCCTCCGCCTTCCCCTGGTCTTGCAGCTCCTTCCGTTACTCCTGTCCATGCAACGACTGGTGCGCCTGTTCCTTTTCCTCTCCCTCCTCCTACGCCTCCTCCTCTTCCTTCTCCTTCTCCTCCTCATCCGTTCTTCTTCGTCTTCCTGCTCATCATCCTGCTCATCCTCCTGCTCATCCACCACCTCTTCCTCCGCCACCTCCTTCAATGACACACTGCTTCCTTCAGCTTGCGAACATCCCGACGGGGTAATTCCTGGGGTTGCAGATGTGCTATGACAAACAATCGGCGGACACTGAAAAAGATCATCACAATGGGAACAAGTGGGCGGGAGGGGTAGGATGTCATAGATAGCCCGCTCACACCCAGCTTGCCGTCCGCCCCCTCTACCTTCCCTCCTTCTCCATCCATATGCTCTCAAGAGATTAACATATACAAAACAACACGCGTCCGTGTCTCCCCCAGAAAGGCGTCGGTAGGGCGGGGATGGGCGTGTCGCCTGAGACTTCCTCACCATGTATGACCCTGCAATTCAAGATTTGCAGCAGCTCCACGGAAGTAGGACAGGTGGTTTTCAGAGTGTGGCTCTCGCCTTCGCGCCGCGCGCGCTCGTTTGAAAAGACGGCAAGAGCTTCGCGGGTCAGAAAGTGGCTCTCGCCTTCGCGCAGCGCACACTCGCCCTCAAAGTTTACGCAACAGGTTCACGGACAGAAGGCGGGTGGTTTTCAACATGTGGCTCTCGCCTTAGCGCCGCGCACATTCGTCTTAACAGTTTCCAAGAGCTTCACGGATGGAGCGCGGGTGGTTTCCGAAATGTGGCTCTCGCATTAGCGACGCGCATATTCGGGTTGAAAGTCTGCAAGATTCCCGCGGATGGGAAGCGGCTCATTTCCAAAATGTGGCTCACGCCTTCGCGCCGCGCGCATTCGTTTTAAAAGGCTGCAAGGAGCTTCACGGCTGGAGGGCGGCTCCATCTCAACATGTGTCTCTCGCCTGCGCGCCGCGCACTTTCGTCTTCACATATTGGAGCGGTTTCGAAGATTCTGATCGTTGACGTCCCAGGAGCGATGTCCCGGCATGATGTTGGATTGTCAGGACATCATGCATGTTGATTCGCGGTGCCGAATTCCCAGGAATCGCGTTCTGGGGCGATTCTGTCTTCAGGACGCAACAGTAACTTTGATTCGCGGCATTGCACACCCAGGAATTGTGTTTTGGTATGATTCACAATTATCAGTCGGTTGTCTTCCAACGAGGCGTTTCCCGCAATGAGAACACAGGCGTATAGGGACCTGTGGGGAAGGGATTCAGAGGAATGGCTTACAGCAACATGATTGGTGCGTCCTGGGTTTACACTCGTCCTCCTCCAGCTGCTCCTCCTCCTCCCCCGCATCGTCATCATCATTAGCATGATCAACATCACCACCATCACCATCACCACCACCATCATCATCACCAGCATTACTATCATCAGCATCATCATGAGCAGGAGCATAATCCTGATCATCATCGTCCTCGTTACCATATTCATTATGCTGTTTGTCCCCCTCGTCCGCCGCTGTGTACCTCCTCCTCCTCCTCCTCCTCCTCCTCCTCCTCCTCCTCCTCCTCCTCCTCCTCCTCCTCTCCTCATCATCCTCATTCTCCTTTTGCCGTCAGAATGATCATCATCACCACCACCATCATCATCATCATCAGCAGCAGCATCAGCATCAGCATCAGCACCACCATCATCATCATCAGCAGCAGCATCATCATCATCATAATCATCATTGTCGTCGTCGTCCACATCGTCACCACCTTCCTCCTCATCATCGTCACCATCATCAACATTATCATCAGCATCCTCATCGCTTCGAGCAGCTGCCACCGAGAATGCTGGCCTGGCACGGTAGCGGGACGTGCGGCGGGCAGCTGGATAGCGGGGAGCGGCGCGGCCTTCCCTGCCGCCCAGTGACAACCGTGTGAAGTACAAACATCGGTGGTTCGGCTTGCGCTGGAGATCGACCACGTTGGGACAGGACTCGAGCACGGATGTTGGGAGCAGGGGGGGGGGCGGGGCTCTACCAGAAAAAAAGCCCACCATTCTGACAGACTCCAATGGCCGTTGCTTCGTAGAACTATATAGAACATGTGAAGCTGATTGGCCTCCCCAGACCCCCAGCCCCGACGGAAGCGATCAATAGTTGCGATAGGGGCGGGAAACGCAATAATCCTAGCTGGTTGGCATGCAAATCGTGATGACGATGCAGGGGCTACCAGGAGCAGTCATACTGAATACATGTGTGGCCATCGCACTCCTGATGCATACCAGTTGCGACACCAAAGCAGCAATTGGCATGGTTGGTGCGCAAACGAACGTACTGATGAAACGAGGCTGTCTCTATATCCGCCATCGTGACTCGATGCGCGAAGTGGAGCGTCCCCACGTCCTTTTGAATTCGCTGTGTAGGAAGTGCGAAAGCGTGGACCTCAAACGGTGAGTGATTGCACTGTGGAGGTGCAAGCTAGGTTATCTAAGGTATGTGATGTGAGCTATGTTGTGTAAGTTACGTGGTGTGAGCTATATGGTGTGAGGTAGACTGTGGAAGCTATGCTGTCAAAGCTATGGGTTGCAAGCTATGCTGTATGAACTGTATGGTGTGAGCCATGCTGCACAATCCGAATGCTGCGGGCGATGTGGCAAAAAACAACTCTGCAGCGTACGCTGTGCCGCGTGAGCTGTGATCCCGAGTCCAGGTGGTACTGGCTATTCGGTGTGAGCTGTGAGTGGCAGGCTGTGCTGTGCAAGCTGTGCGGTGCCTGCCATGCTGTGTCGGCTACGTGGTGGCAACGCCCACTGGGCGCCCACCAGCAGGCACGGGCACCAACGGGGCGAAACCTCAGGAGGAGGAGGAGGAGGAGGGGAGGAGGAGGAGGAGGAGGAGAAGGAGGAGGAGGTCGATAAACCTGTCCAGCGCACGGGGCGCCCGCAGGGCGCCCCATGAGCGGCCACGGGCGCGACCGCGGCGACGCCTCTGGCGATCCACCCCACGTGCGGTGCGCCCACGAGGCGCTCACGAGCACGCACGGACGCCAACGAGGCGACGCCTCGGGACGCCCACCCAGAGCACGAGGCGCTCACGAGCAAGCACGGGCGCCAGCGTGGCGAAAACCAAGGAAACCCACCCCCGGCTCCTTGAGAAGGCCAACCAGTACGAAGCTCTAAGTGCATGCACTGACTCTGGGGAATGGTTTGGACACTCTCTTTACCAGAACCGTGAGTTCCAATAATGCTTTGAATTCTCGGGCCCCGATTAGCAGAGCGCCGCTGTGCTACTTTGCCTCAACACCAGCGCACTCGAAGTTACCGCACCCCTGGCACGCGTTAGCAGGGCGCCGCTCTGCGAATCGGCCTTACACCACTCGCCCCCGATTCGTGGACTCCCTGGGCTTTCATTTGCAAAGCGGCGCCCTGCCCACGCGCGCTGAGGAAGCGGCGAAAGTAAGCGCGCAGAGTTCAAAGCCAACTAGCAGAGCGGCGCTCTGTTTCTAGGATCCCGCGAAGTCCAGCAATACTCGATTGCACCAACTCATCGGCGTGCATTAGCAGAATGCCTCTCTGCTAAATGGCGCGAAAAAATGCGGTCACGATTCCTTAACTGCCGTGGCGCGTCCGAAAGCCAGAAAGCCTCAGGAACACCTAGGAGACCGATGAAACGCCAAAGGAAACCTCAGAGTGGAAAACGATGAAAACCTTTTCTGAAAAATGGCAGCTAACCTCCGAAAAGTCTGAGATCGCGTACGGAACACCTAAAGGAAGCCTCAGGAACACCACCGTCATATAACATACAACATTTAAAAGACACCAAAGAAACCATATGAAACGCACAGGAGAAGACTCGAACAGCCACGGAAAACCACAGAACAACTGCAAACAAAACAAACAGCACAAACAACATAAAAACGGAAGTCTGAGGTACACAGCTGCAAACCTAAGGACACATAGAAATGACAACAAAGAAGCACAATCGAAAACCAGAGGAACCCGACTACAAACCGAAGGAACAGCAAGAAAACCTGAAGAACAGCCTGAGAGAACGCTGGGCAAACCACGGCAAACCCAAGGAACGCCTCAAGGACACCCAAGGAGCAGCATGGAACATAGAAGGAACATCATAGCAGATATGCTGGGAAACCATCGAACAAGTACAAGGACGACAAAGGAAAGCCCTCAGGACGACCAGAGAGCACCTTCGGGAAAGCATGGCAACTCTAAGAAACGAAAGAGGAAGCCCAAGCATAGGGCGCCCACGAAGGACGTTGCGCGCCCACCCACGCACATGGACACGGTCCCCCAGTCCGCGAGAGCGGCCGCGTGATACGACCGTTCGCGCACTGCGTACTCTCGAAGCCAACGTGGATGCATGTACGTGTCCGCCCTTCTGTCGATCCTGACAGAATAGAGGCCTCCTAGATGGGGTCGGAAGAGATGGGGTCGGAAGACCTCGCAGCATCGCCGATACATCAGGGATGCACCGCGTGGCGAAACACGGGCTCCGCATCGCGCCGCATCGGCGACGCATCGACGATGCGGCGCAATTCCCCCACCCCATCTGCTCGGACCCCATCCAGGAGTCCTAGACAGAAGCACCATGCAATCTGGAGGACAACCATCGAGAAACTAAGGATGACCAGAAGCACCTGCTTGTTCGGGCCCCCGTGCACGCGCGGGGCGGCCGTCGGCCCGGGCAGCCCAGGGCCCAGGCAGCAGCGAAGAGTTCGAGCACCGCACGACAGGGGGGACCACAAAAAACAAAACAAGACAAGAAGCAACAACTACAAAGCACACACAAAAACACACAAAACGAAACAAACAAAAAGTGCCGGCTGTAACAAAACGCAGAAAAACAGCTGTTTTGTGCGAGAACCAGTGCCAACCGGCTGTTTATTGTGACAGCCAGGTGCTGGACGACCGCACCAGAGCGGGGTGAAAAAGGCCACCCCGGAGGACCAAGAGCATCCCAGGGACAACCGGAGGGCATCCATGGCAGGCCGCGGCAGGCGCCAGGCCAGCCCTGAGGAGACCGAGACAAGACAGCACTGGCAAGCCCTGGGAAAGGGGCGCCGGCAAGAACAGAAAGAAAGCTGAAGGAGAACGGCCGAAAGCCGGAGGAACACCACAGAGCACCGGAGAAAAACCGAGGACAGCCCAAGAGAAAGCGGAGAAACTGCCCTGGGAAGGCCGAAGAGAACCAACGAAAAACCTGAAGATCTGGGGAAAGCCATAGAAGCACGCCTAAGGCAAACCTGGGGAGCACCATGGAACACCAAAGGAAGCACAAGGACATCAGGAGGAAAACCGAAGATCAACTTTTGAAAACCACAGAAAGCCTAAGGAACACCTAACATTATCCTAAATAACGTTACAGAACACCTGAGCAGTACAATAGAATGCCTAAGCAAACCAACGAAATAATAAGAAAAGAGAAAACATCGAGCGAATAACTAAAAATTGTACCGAATGAAAACCTCTGGGAGACCAGGGGAACATCATAGAACACCTAACGATTGGACATCCAGATAATCTTTGGGAAACTAACGAAGACAGCAGGAACACCAGAGAGAGCCCTCGGAGACCCCGAGGAGCACGACAGAAAACCTGAGGGGGAGCAACAAACAACCGAGGAAAGCCAGAGAAACAACTCGGCCAACCAGAAGACTTGCGAGGCGGGGATCTATCCATATCCATCGCCTGGGAACCGACGTCCTGGTGCCCCAGCGGGCGGTGGATGCGGACATGTGTTGGCCCCCGGGGGCCCGGATGTATCCATATCCACCGCCTGCCGAGGTCCCCGAGAAGTGATCCTCCAGGCGGTGGTGTATAAATTCCCGCCTCGGAAACCTCTCGGGGATCAAGGGAAGACAGCTGAACAACGAGTGAAAGCATGTCGGGCAACCCAGAAAAGCTCCGCGGAGGCCCAAGAGAAACCGAGGAGCAGCTCAGAGAGCACCTGCAAGGAACCTACACGTCGTTCATTTCTAATCGTGCTCATTTCTAAGTGTGCTCGTGTCTAATTGTTCCTGGCCCCCTGGTGGCCAGGAAGAGGCCCAGGATAGCACACTTAGAAATGAAAGGACCTTGGCCCCTAAAACATCAAATGACTTCCGAATGGTTAGAAATGAACAACGTGTAGAGAAAACCTGAGACGGTCTCACCCAGAGAAAAAAACCTTTGGCAGTCTCACAAAGTCCACCTAGGGAACGGATCCTCTCCCTGGAGAGCCTGCAGAGCAAGCCTTCAACCAGGATAACTCCCTGTATCCCCGGGAGGCCCCAGGAGGCCCCAGGAGGGCCCCAAGAGGCCTGCTTGTGACGTTGGTCAGGCCTGAATCCTCGGATAGTGGAATTCCAGGAGGCCTAGTTGCTCTTCCTCCGACCCCTCCTCCGACCCCTCCTCCTCCTCCTCCTCCTCCTCCTCCTCCTCCTCCTCCTCCTCCTCCTCCTCCTCCTCCTCCTCCTTTTCCTCCCCCTCCTCCTCCTCGTCCTACGCCTCCTCCTCTCTTTCGCCTTCTCCTCCCTCCCCTCCTTCCCTCTCTTCGTTCCCCGAGTGTTTTCGCAAGGGCTTCCCCAACGGCTGGGGAAACATAGCTTGGCCAAGAGTTGGCCGACCGTTTGGCCACACCAGCGTTCACAGAAAGGCACGGAGCGGCGGTGATTATCCGTGTCTTCGGTACGTATACAGATACACCTGATGCGGGCGAATCCAAACCTGCACAGAAGTCAAGCGACAACATGTGGCCAGCCATGTTTAATCAAGTAGGGGGCAGTACACATGTACCGAGGCAGCGAGATCGAAGCGCGGTGAGGGCATCCGATCAGGAACCCCGAGACAAGGAATCCAGGGTCTGAGAGCCTGGTGGAGCACCAACTGAGGCGTGGCCACGGACATCACCTCCGCCCTCGTCGGATGAGAAGGCCCCCAGGATCTGGAGCCTCCTGGGCACATTCCGTCGGTGTACGCCCCCACCGTACACCGAAGACACCAGGAGGGACCCATCCGGGCACAGTCGGCCGAAGAACGCGTCTCGCGCCTGCGCCAATCGGCCCTCCGTGCCCGCGGCGACGTACAGCATCTCCGTGGACTCGATGCCGCAGTACAAGTCCCACGAGGCCTTGCGCTGCGCGCAGTGGGCCTCGTCCACCTGCTGCGCCCACACGTCGAGCTGCCACTGCGAGGAGGCCGCGGCGGAGGGCGGTGCAGGGGGGAGGGGGGCCAGAAGGGATGCGCGAGAGGGGGAGGGGGGGAGGCAGGGCGCACTGGGCGCAGCAGCAGGGGGAGGCGGAAGCGGATGAGGAGGCGGAGGAGGAGCAGGAGTGGGAGGAGCAGGGGCAGGAGGAGGAGGAGGAGGCGGAGGAGGAGCAGGGGCGGGGGGAGGAAAGGGGGAAGAGAGGAAGAGGAGAGGAGGAGGAGGAGGACAGCAGAAGCAGCAGAACTAGTAGGAGCGAAAAGAGGAGGAAAAGGGAGGAGGAGGAGGAGGAAGGAGGGGAGGAGGGAGGAGGGAGGGGAGGAGGGAGGAGGGAGGAGAGGAGGAGGAGGAGGAGGAGGAGGAGGAGGAGGAGGAGGACAGCGTACAGGGGGGTTCAGCTCCACTCTAAGGGGAGGGCACAGCGGCATCGGACGCCGCAGCCGCTCGAATCGCAGTCGGTAGCGACGAGGGGGGAGAAGCGGGGAAGGGGCACGCAGCAGCAGGAGCATAGCTCATCGGAGCGACGGACCGAGGAGGGGACGGGGAAAACGCCGGTGGCAGATCAAACAACGGGGGAGAGAAGCGGGGGAAGACGGCAGAGGGCAGCAGCAGGGAGGTCACAAGGGACGAGGAAGGAAGAACGGGCAGGATGGCAGGCGTGGCATCTGGCGTGGGTGGACAGGGCGGGGCGTGTGGGGCAAAAGAGGGCACAGGGACAGTCGAGAAGATGCAGCGACGGGAGGGCCTTGGAGGGGAGCACTCAGAGCAGGGTGGGATCCACGGCGGGGACCACAGGGAATGAGGAGATAGACTCTGGGTCGACGGGCTGGCCATCAGGGTACCAGAGGATCGCGAAGCGGGTCCTGATGAGGTCATCGGAGAGCACGACGCACTGGGAGTACATGGTGCCATGGGAACAGCAGCATGAGCAGGAGAGGTCGCCAGGACACAGCCTTGTCGAGAGCGCCGCACGATCATGGAGGAGACAGAGCCATACGCGGCAGCCTGCGGCCGATGGTTCAAGGGGCACCCCTGCATTTGGCTTAGTGTACTGTCAGCCGCCGACCAGTGAGACCACTCCTCGCAATTCACTCCAGATGCCTGGCGCGACGGGCTCGAGGAGCACCCGCCGCCAGGACTTTGCGTTCTAACAACAGCAGTCGCAGCTCCTGAGCCCAGCTTCTTCGACTCTTCACAATTTACTCTAGGAGCCTGGACATCTGGGCTCGAGGAGCACCCAGTGCCAGGACTTGGCGTTCTGACGTGGCCAGCACCCAGCCTCCTTTGCGATGAGGGCTCGATGTAGTCGTGGTCACCGCTGTGTTCGGCTCTGGGAGGCGTCGCAATGAGGGTCGCTGGTGTACCAGGTGTGGAGGGAGAAGAGATGCTGCAATCATCGGTGTGGGCCGTGGGGACAAGCCGCGGTGTGAGGCACATGCCAGAGCCAGAGCAACGAACTCCATCAGTGTCGACGCAGGGCTTGCTGTCCAAGCTCAAGTACCTCGAGGTGTGCTCATGACTGCCAGGGACCATTCAATCATCATCAAAAGGATCTTCATGTTGCTCAGAATGCGAGTCGTCATCCCCTTCTGAACTGGATGAGGTCGAGGATGTCGACGACTGTTGAGGTAGGCGGTGGAGGGTCAATGCCTCAGGGGGCTGCCATTTCTTTTGCAGTTGAGCGTCAGGTTTGGCCAACCTTAGGTTTCTGACAGCAGCTCTCGCGCTGGATCGAAGATCGTTAGAAGTGACATATAGACGAAAGCGCATATTGTGGTAGATGTCGAAGGCAACTGCCAAGGTTTCGATGTGTTTGAGGTCGGGGAGCCGAAGCCCCAGGCGGTCAGGAAGGAGCGGCTGCATCTCATATCCCAAAGCTTGGTACACCGCAGTCCAAAGCGGACGGCATCGCATGTAATGGTACTGTCGATCTGCATGGCCTCGACAACCAAAGATACAAGGGCGAGAGCCTCCAGCATACTTTATTCGCGTAGCGGTGAGCCATCCAGAGCAATAAGTTCTAATAACCGGCATGGCCCAGCTCATGGGTACCAGTGAGAGAAGATCACCGATCTTTGTCCAATCCACTCGATCCAGGAACGGCTCCCATTCATGTACATATTTCGAGAGCCGTCGCTGCACCAGCGAAGCAAGAGGAAAGGGCGTTGTCAGCATCTCCCGAAGTGCTCGTGTGGCTGCACGTTGCGGCTTGGGCTTCCTGCCATTAACTTGGAGCTCCTGGGCGATGGCCTGAACGCACGTGTCATTGATCTCGGGAGGATAAGCCGCCTCTCTGCCAGATTGTAGAACCGACGCAAATCCCAGCAGGAGTGATGGGGACTGCCAGTGCGTGCCCGTATGGTCAAGTGCATCTCCTCGCACCCGTGTCGCCGCCAGTGGCGCATCATCAAATTGGCCTTCCATGAGGGAATGTCTCCATTCGGACTCCAGTTGTCGGAAGCGCTCAAGAATGGTAGTGTGATTAGAGAACGTGACTAGCGCGGCTCGAGCATAGGCAGCAGCGCACGAGTGGAGCAACAGTGGGATACGAGGGCCTCCCCATTCGCCAATTTGGGCCCAACCAGCCGAAGTGAGCATGCCAAGAGGGGCTCTGAAGACCTGTGCCAGAATCCCCAGTTCCATAGCCGCGTGCCGTTGAGGGAGCGGAACGAATTGGGCCACGTAGGAGACCACAGAGAACACCCTGGAGGAGTACAGAACACCATTGATACTAGCCGGGGCAGCCCCAGACCCAAGCAGGCGGGCCCGCAATTTGAGCTTCTGCAGCGGGGCGAGCCACTGCATGTCAACCGTGACGGCGGGGCCCAGCAGGAGGCCAAGGTAGAGGATCTGGGAGGTCACTTCGAAGGCGCTCCAGGCAGGGACAAGGCACTCCACGAGGGACATAGTGTGGTGCTGGAGGGGCTCGGAGAACTCCGCCTTGAGCGGGACAATTTTGCACTTCATGTGTTTTAGCTTCAGCCCTGTGAGACACTCAGTGACCACCATCACATCATACAGGACTTGTAGGTGCTTTGCTTCATAAACCACCGCCCCAATATCATCAGCACACGCCCGAGCGATGCCATATCCAGGAGACTCCAGAGTATCTTCCAGTTCACAGAGAAAGGGGGCTGTGCCGAGGGCGTATAGGCTCCCTGAGAGCCCGCATCCTTGAATAATCCCAGATCTCAGCCAGTATATGGGGATGATCTGGCCAGCGTGGGCCACGACTCCTTGGATAGCGAGGTACAGCCACGAGAGGAACCACATGAGAGGCCCAGGGAGCCCAAGCTTATTCATCAGCATCAGCAGGTACTCTTGGGAGAGACTGGGGAACGCCTGGCCATAATCAAACGAGATCAAGAGGGGGTCGCACAGGTCAGAGCGAGGGTGAGCCGCAGCTAGCCTTCCTATGCCGTCGAGTTCGATCACATTGTAACCAAAGTTACGGCCGACAACAAACCCTCTTTGCGAGCGGGGAACAACCTCCTCCACCACTTTCCGAAGCGAGCGATTGACAACAGAGGTCATGATTTTCAGGTCAGTGTTTCGGAGTCCCAGCACCCGAATTTTGTCAGCAGACCGCGTACAGCCTCCAGAGGCTTCGTCCTCCTCCTCCGAACCTTTGGGCAAGAAGGCCTGTAGCGTGACACTCGCAGCATCGAAGAGAGTCCCTCCACCGAGCACCCAGTCGAGGGTGTTGCACAGCACGTCGACGCAGCACTCAGAGGCATTCCAAGCTGCATATGGGATGCCGTCCACCCCTGGGGCAGAATGTCGTGCACCTCGCACAGCACGACGTATAGCAGCTTTAGTAGGAGGTGGGACTTCGCAATGGATGGGGACATTCAGGTGATCCTGGAGGTAGGCCTCTATGCGGGGGGCTGGGACAGAGCCTCGAGAGAAGACGGGGCGCCAGTAAGTACTCAAAGCTTGAAAACGATCTTCAGGGGAATGTGATAAGACAGGCCCTGACCGCACCTTCTGCAGGATTAGACGGCGAGAGAAGGGGGCCCAGATGGTCGCCTTCCGTTCCAGAAGCTGTTGGCGACGACGGGTGGAAAGAGGACGGTGAGAGACAGAGAGACCTGCAACATGATCAGCATTGGCTTGTAGTTCTTTTTCCAGAAGCCGCATGTGGACTCCGTCTGACCATGAATGAAATGATTCAGGGTGTCGAAGGCGAACTTGTGAGCCTTCAATTTGCAGTGCGTCTGATGCCCACTGCGATGTCGAAATAAGTCGCCGAGCCAGTGGAGCGTCTTGCCTCCATACAGCTCGAGCGCAGCTGCGGGCCACGATGATCGCTGTCTCATCACTCTCCGCCTTCAGCGAGAAGAGCATGTCACGCACCTCCCGCGCAGCTTCTTTGAGCATCTCTTTGAAATGCTCCTGATAAATAGAGCCAGCATGCGCCTCAATAGCGTTCTGGCCATCAGCAACCATCCCCTCGATACGCTTCTTGAAGAGCGGGTCCAGGAAGATGTGCCGCGGGATAGCCTGTTCACCCCGAGGCCTATGATGTCGCTGGCGTAACGTTGTCACCAGCGCAGCATAAGGAGGAGGAGGAGGAGGAGGAGGAGGAGGAGGAGGAGGAGGAGGAGGGAGGAGGAGGAGGAGGAGGAGGAAGAGGAGGAGGAGGAGGAGGAGGGGGAGGGAAGAGGAGGAGGAGGAGCAGCAGCAGCAGCAGGAACAGGAGCAAGGGAATAGAAAAGCAGCCTCTCCCGTGTTCATGGGGTGGAGGTTGCAACCCGCCGGCATGCGCACGTAGCACCCAGGCTC